TCACAAAAAATAAATAAAAATAGTTCACAAGACACAAAAACTTTTGGATTTGAGCCCAAATGGCCCAGATCCTAGCAGTTTATTTTGTAAGATGCGATGCCTCCATAACTCAGTTCTGCTACAGGTACCCCGTGCGAATCTCATCAAGATGCAGGCAAATCTCTTTAAAATCAAGGGAGCAAGGACTGTCTTCCTCCACAGTAAAATTTTTACTACCAAACAGTTTGGGCATTAAATATAAATACATATTCATATTTCGTATGAATTAGGTCTTTTAAATTATTAACAAGATTACAATAGGCATGATAAAAAGATGAGTTTTCATTTGTACCATCTGATAGTTAACTAAAGTGGATGGCTTGGATACTCAAAAAGGTGAAAGAATTATTCTGCAGCCCCACCTTGGCCTGCGTCTTGGTCTTGGCAGCCTCGAGCAGGAAGCAAGCACAAAGAGGCTTTTGCACTGCGGGACTGCCATGTGTTTCAGTTTAATTACAACACCGTTGCCCTCAGCAACCCCGAGCCCCTTGACTCAGTGTTAGAGATAAAATCATTTACCAAGCTTGTTTTTCTGGTTTATTACTGCAGCAGAATTAGAAGAGAGGTCTGTCAGCATTGACACAAAGAAGTTGAATGGGGGAGGGGACAGTCAAGGCTACAGAATCAGATATAAAATTATCCTTGTAAATCAAAGCCTACGTAGCACTGTCAGAACACCTTAAGGACCTTAACCGTATTTGTTTGTTGGATTAGTCATGTTGCAGTGATTGTTCCTAGTGGCCCTGAATCATCGAGAAATATAAAATTCATTTAGAATACAGTTTAATAAAGCAGAGATGGGTCATATTTTTAAATCAAAAATGGTTACCATAGTAAGTTTCTCTAAAGGGTAATTTGAGGGATTAGGAACATTCATTTGGTAGTCCTCTCTAACCTGAGTTCCATGGATTTGCTTCAGGTGTCCATGAACTTTTAAAAACTAGCAAAATCGTGTGTGTTCATATATTTTCAGATTCTCAGACGATCGAACCAAAAAAGGTTAAGAACTAATGAATTGTTTAAGAATACTTCGACCAAGAAGTGTGTAATTTTAAACTTGGGGACAGGCTAGTGATGCTTGGCATGTAAAACAGGTTATCAAGTTGTGATTGTATTTAGCTAAGTGTTGAACCTAGAAGCTCTTAGTGCATATGAGTTCCTTTTTCTCTCTTAAAATATTGCTACCAGTCTTCACTGTCTTATAGTGCCACTGCTTAAGGTAAATTTAGCCACAAAGTCAGAGCTATCTTCAGGCTAGTGTCTGCTTTTTCTCTTTAAAGGTACCCAAAACCAATTTTGAAGCCCCAAAGTTAAAAATAGCTCAGTCTCCATCCAGCTAGACAAATAGCAGCTGCCTTAGCACAAAATCTTCAAAGTGGGAATAGGTTCAACTCTCTCTTTCCCACTGAGCAAAGCTCTGGGGTTTGGAAAGCCATTTGTTGCCTGTTTGGAGTGAATGGAGGCCTCAGGAAGGAGGGAAAGAACCAGTAATTTGCTACTCTGTCATTAAGGAGATTATAAATCAGCCTTAAAGAAGCAAATCCAAATCTCATTCTGACATTCAACATAAAATGTTATAAATTTACTTAATCCCTGGTCCACAGTTGTAATGAATTTTCACTTTTGTCCCAAATTTCATTAATCTATAACTCGTTTTTGCATATTTCTGACTTCAAGAGATCTTTAATCAAATAATTTATAAACATAATTTTATACAATACAGAAAGTCAATGAAAAGTAACAATCCTTCCCATCCCCACAAAACTCCCAGTTCCAATTCTTAGAGGTCCACTGAATATTTTTGTGTGCTTTCCAGAAAGTATATATTCCCTTTGAAAAACACACAAAAGGTCACACTGTGTTTATTTGTTAGGTATCATGCTTTTTTTCATTATCTTGCAGATAATCCATCTCATTCTTTTCAGTGACTGCAGAGTTTTCATTGTATGACTGCTGTTATTTATGAATCGTCACAGGATATTTAGATCAGTTCCACCTGGGGCTATTCCCATGGGGCTCTGGTGGCCATCTTTCCACACTTAGAGGGGCCTATCGTGTAACTACCCGAGAAGTGAATTGCTAGTGTGCAATTGCAGCTCAGAGGGTAAGTGCTTTTAGAGTTTATAGAATTTGATAGATATTATCACTTTCCCTTCCAACAAGATAGTACCAGTTTCTACTTCCTCTGGCTGTGTGGGAGAGTGCCTTTCTTCCCCATCCTCACTGACGCTAGGTCGGTGTCTGCCTGCCTGCCTGTCTGTCTCTCTCTCTTTCTTTTTGACATACTAAAAGGTAAAAATATTTTTTACTGTTTTGATTTCTTTTATTAGGAGTTAAGAATAACATTTATTTTTAAATAAATACTTGTTGGTTTGATTTTTAAGAATCATATCCCCCTTTTTTTCATTTAAGCACTTTGTGTGTCCCATTTCTTACGATTTTGATGTTTTCTGTAGAAATAATCTTCCTATCACAATCTTCCTAAATTGTGTAATAAGTAAATACTGGGGGGGAGGGAAAGATCAAGTTTTCTTTGCTTTTTAAAAAATCCTTGGTCGCCTTGGGTCAAACTAGTATTTCAGTTGATTCCTCCATTTCTGTGCTTTAGCAAGATCTTCTGCAATAGTTTTAATCATTTGATCAGTAGTTTCTTTCAAAATGGTTGCTGTCCTTAGGGCATAATCCAAAGACAAGTTTAAAACCTACAAAAGAAAAGTCCACACATTTTAATTACATAAATTTACTTCTGTTTAGTGAATTAGGTTCTCTCTTATTAAACATTGTGGGGTAGAATTTTTAGAGTGTTCTATTTTCTACCCAGTCTGTTTTTGAGGGTTGGTTTCCTAGGAAACCAGTCTGAGATGGAATATATTTTTGGGGGTAAGTGACAGAAAAAAGACTAACATGTGACTGATGAGCATGAATCAGAGGGTTAGGTCAGCAACCTGCTGGGCTGTTTCCCTGCTGTAGAGAAAGAGATCTGTGAGAAAGGAAAGCTTTTGGGGGTCAGCGAAGGGGACTTCGGGACATAACCACTGAGAGGGCCCACGGATACGGCGCGTGGACATGGAAGCATTTGAAAGTGGCCTGGGATTAGAGTTACTGATTTGAAAATAGGAACAGCTGGCAGCTCTAGCCCGGGTGTCGCTGGAACAGACCTATGAGTCGCTAGGAGCTGGCTCCAGCGCCTTCAGGCCCGGGCCAGGGGCGTCCTGTAGCTGAGGCACCACCCACAAAACGCTTTTTCCAGGAAATTCCCCTTGGAACAATTTAGGAATAATGCAAACCGTGTGGTTGCTCAGGCTTTATGTTAGTGCCGAGCACACATTGTTTTTAGTAGAGCATTTTATGATGCCCCATCCATGATAATGATTTTAAAGCCATCAGTTTTGTGGTCATCAAGAACAAACACAAGCTGCAAGGACTCATTTTAATGCCTTTTTCCTGCGTGCTCACCTCAGATTTCGTTTCTTCTGTACCGCTAAAGTTGCTTAAGTATTTGCTTCCAGAAATCCTGCAAGAGTGGAAATGGGGTAAGGGTGTAGCAAGGTCCAAACTGTAGGTCGTGAAAGCCTTAAGATTTTTTCTGGAAGGCAGAAGCACAGTGATACTTGTGTAAAGCGCCACGCGCACGCCGTGGCTCGGCCTGCCCCGTGCTGCGTAGCGGAGGTGAGGCCTCCGGACGCCCTTCGCCTTCGTAGCTCTCAGGCCCTTTGCGGCTGACCATGGCCGAGCTTCAGGAAAAGGTGGTTCCCATGACCGTGAAGGGCGCGTCCTCCCGAATCTGACTGCTTTTCCATTAACACAGAAAGAGGCAGGACTCCAAAGAGGTTTTCATTCAGTTTTCATTGTTATGGGGTCAACATTTTACCCTGTATATTTATAAAACACTCAAATCTGCCAACTCCATGCATTTTTAGTTGAGTTCTCGCACTAGTGAACTTACATAGTAAGGAGGCAGCAGCAGTAGGAAAATAAAAGTATCTCTTTAAGTAAACAGGCTCCCGCGGACTATGACACTATAACCGTCCCTTAGAGATGGTCCTGTGTCTGCGGTTGGTGACTGACGGGTGCCAGGGCCACTGTGCACACTTACGCAGGTTGTACCCTGCGTAGCTCTGGGGGGTTTCATTCACAAGGCCTTCATGAAGGGCACTACCTGGAGTGAACGCTTTGCACAACCATGAGTAGTGGCCCTAAGGGACACCACAAAACCTTGCCTGACACTGTGAGCAGTATCATCTCCACAAAGTCTGACTTCAAATGCTTGTGACTTGAAGCCTTTCTTCCTCCCTCTCCCCCTGCCACGTTAACATCAGTTGGCTCTGTGAGTTGGTTCAACACATTGGATCTGCCCTCCAGTTGAGAGGTGATTCGTGTCAGGGGCCCCTAGCTAATGAAAAGCCGGGCAGGCTTGCCAGTGCAGCGCAGTGGGAAGGGTGTGGGTTTCAGAGTGCTCTGTGTCCCCACATCCAGTCACCACTCTCAACAGTAACAGCCATCACTTGCTGAGTGCTTATATGAATCGGGTACCTTCCTAAGTGCTTTATGTATTGGCTCAATCCTCAATGGATCCAGCACTATTACTCTCATTTGGGGAATAACAGAGAAATATAAGGGGGAACGGGAGGCACAGAGGTCAGGCAACCCGCCCGAGAACCCAGGGCGAAGATCCAAACCCAAGAAGTCTCCAGAGGCCACGTTCCTAAACCCTGCACTGCAGTCGGTAGAGGGTAGAGGGTACAGAGTGTGACTTCAGAGGCCAAACTCTTGACCACTCTGCTACACTACTGACTCTGCCTCTGAAGCAAAGCTCGAATGCTAGACACGTCTCCTCCCATTTCTACCGTCCTTGGCCAAGCTGCCGTTATCTCTCCCGGGCGTTTGCTCTAGTCTTCCATTCGGTCTCCATCCTCCAACCTTTGACCCTGTCATCCTTTCCCCCTCAACAGTTACAGTGATCTTTTGAAACACTAAAAACTTTAAAAACTCCCTGGTTAAAAGACTTTATTGACTTCCCAGTTTACCTAAGAGTCTGAAATCTCTGTAACTGACAAGGCCCTGCACAGTCTGGCCCAGCCTGTCCCACCAGCCCCAGCTCATCCCCAGGTACCGCCTGTCTCAGGCTCCAGCCAGACCATCCCCGAATTCGCCACGGGGCTTTTCACATCAGGAAGCTCTCTTAGTTTGTACCCCTCTCAACTGTACCCCTGCATCTCCTTGCTGGTTTGTTCATACCTAACCTTTGGAGCTCAGCTTCCCTAACCTCCAAATTAGATAATAGCACTCTTATGCCCACCTCTTGGCACTTAGCAAAGACTGGCTTCTTTACCAAAAAAGTAAGCTCCATGAAGGGGCAATAGTTGACTTTGTTACTATATCCTCAGCACCTGGCACAGCACCCTGCTATTGACACGCAAATATTTGTTGAAAGAATAAATGAATAATTGAAGTATTAGCCAGACTTAACTTTAAAGCCTGCCTCTAACTATGATCTAGAGGATCTTGGGTGGGTAACAATGCACTATAAGCACATAGTATGCACTCAACCAATGGGTAGCCATTTTTGTTATCAATAATAATAATAAAATAAATACTTACTTCCCTGGTACAGGCTCATGTTCATCTTGAGGGGATTTCAAATTTGCTCTCTGGGAACAGATCCATTTTGGTTTTGAACAAGCTGAAAAATATTAGCTGTGATTAAATTCAGAGCATCAAAAATGATCCTCAAATGGTGGGTATCATTTTGTGAACTTTTCTGTGTGGATGAAATATTTCATAAAAATTTATTAAGAAAATTAGGGAACCTAAAAAACAGAACTTTCTATCAAGTATTCTTCATTCAAAGAATTCAGGAAAAGAAATCCAACTTTTAAAGGGGTCTTATTTAGCAGACAAGAGACCAGCTGCTAGCCGTGTGACCTGGGCATGTCTATCTAATTCATCTGAAAATGGAGGGAGATCATCTTCCAAGAGGTCGAACCAGTTGGGTTTCTCAAGTTCTTTTCAACTTTAGGAGCAAGGACTCTAGGAGTTAGAAACTAACAGGTCACTATGACAATTCTAGAAAATAGAGACCAAACAGAAAAGAAGATAAATGTAGGCAAGTCATCCCCTTCCTCCTCCTCTCTTCTCTGTCTACCTCTCTCTCTTTCCAGCTCTCCTGTCTTATTCACTGGTCTCTGGTAGCAGTAGCCAGAAAGTCCAAATTTAGTCATGCCGACCACCCAGATTTGAGTCGTGATGACCAGAGGCATGATGAGCTCAGTCTTAATCTTTCAGTAGTCTCCAAATATAATTTTGGATTTTATTTGAAACACTCAGTCAGATTTTATTTGAAACACTCAGAGTCAGAAAGGACCACAGAGTCATCTGATCCAGCTCCATCCAGTCCAGTCTACGTAGTACAATGTCCCGACAAAGCACATTGTCTCACAGTCTAGAGATGGGGCTTGTCTTCCCGTGGCAACCCACACCATTTTCTGTTCATTCCAATTTCTGGAAGCTTCTTTATTAACACAGAAAACAATGCCTCCCTGTGACTTCTGCCCTCTTGGCCACTGTATGTTTACTCAGGGAGTTCAAGATCACATTTCAGCTGACTCAGCTGCTTGCCATATATTGGAATAATAGGTCTCATGATCTGTAGACCCAAAGACCAAGGAGATAGTAAAGAAAGCCGCCCCGTCGCTTCTGCAGAGTCACTGTCACCTTGACAGTACAACTGGAGGGTTTGGCAGCTAGGGATGGGTAGAGGAGGCACAGCTGATACAGCAGGTAAATGGCATTCTTTAGTCTTGGACATGGCAGTTGTGAGAGGTAAGAAACGTGGCCTGTCCCCAGGGAGGGGAAGAGCACGCTTTGAAGGTGTGAACTGGCAGTTGTGAGAGGTAAGAAACGTTTTCCCTGGTGGCCTGTCTCCAGGGAGGGGAAGAGCACGCTTTGAAGGTGTGAACTTCCCCACCAGAAAGGGACGTCAGAGAATCATGTATGGCTGTCCAGAGGCAAGATGAGGAGTATTTCCTTCCCTCCTCTGTTCTTAGTACACTCCAACTTTGCTGTTAGCACTTAGCGCATTTTGCTATGAGCTTTCCTTATTTCGGTATGACTTCCTTTCTCAAAGTAGACTGTAAATGCCTTGGGAGGAGCCATGACTTACTCATCTTTATAAACAAATGTTTGTGGGATTTTGATTTTTTTTCTAAGACAGCAAAATTTTGCATAGAGATTAGCAATGATGTTTAAGGATTGTAAAAAATAGCCTGTTTCTTTACATGATTACTGTTGGTAGGGATGTAGTTAAAGCTTTTGCCGCTCTTGAATAATAATATTAGTGATTATTCAGTTGGTCATTTGTTCAACAAATATTGATGATTTGTTACCAGGTTGCACTGGTAAAGCACTGAGTAACTTTCAAAGTCCTTTCTTGCTAGGATTTCATATCTCCAGCCTCAGTGCAGCCTGCTGCCATCCAGGAGCAGGGCTGGATGGGGAAGCTGGAGGCCTGGGCAGCAGACTGGGGAGAGCAGGGGGCACCCCAAGTGGAAGCAGTGGCTAGCGTGATGTAGGTCTCCTGTAACAGGGAAACTAAGCCGCCTACAAAGATTAGATTATACAGGAGATGTACTTACAAGGTGAAGAATATTTATTTTCATTTAAAAAGTGAAGCGGGACAAAGGCACGTCTTTCGCTATGATTTAAGTAATTCTGTCCTGGGGTGTTGTATCTGTAATGAAATTCTAAAAAGAAAAGATTAAAAATAACTCAATTGCCTGGGAACAACAGCTGTGCCCACGTCTGCCTTTTTTCCGAGGCTCCGCTGTCACCCTCACCTTTAAGTGCTTCTTTGTGGCAGACTCTTGGGGACCGGTGCATGTCAGTGCCGCAGGTCTCACATTTATTACTCCGCAGTCCAGTGCCGGAAGTGAAATAGCAGCTGTGTCCTGTTTCAGGGCCTGAAAAAGCCAAAAGACACGAAGGAAGTGTGAGTTTCTGGATTAGTCATAAAATGAGTGGCAATGCCGGGTATGCGTTAGACACCAGCGCTCAGCTCCCCCAGCCGTGTTACCCAGGGCTGTTGCCTGCCCGGGGGTGACACTGGGGATCCCTTTCTGGAGGCTGAGAGATGTTGTGACAACAGTTCTGACTCAAGGTGGAAGTCTCAAGATGTGCCTGGCATGTGTGGATGCTTAGTAAGGGTCTGCTGAATGGGTGGCTCTCTGAGGACGTGGCCCCTTGGATTGTCAGACCATGCTGCGTTTGTACTTTTCCCATATTTTCCCTCATCCGTCCCTGTTCTCATCTCAGACCCTGCTGTGGCCAAGAGCTTACGTTTTGTCACCAGGAAGTTGGAAAGATGGTTTTCCCCCATGTCATAAGCCCATATAGGAACCTGAATCACAGCTTCGCCCACATCGGTGCCGTGGAGAGGCCAGTAGCAGTGAGCATGTGTGTCTGGTGCAGGTCCTGTTCGGCAGGCTGCGGGCAGTGGAGCGCTCCAGGCGAGGCCAAAGCGTGGGAGCCCGGGCCAGGCAGGTGAGCATGTCAGGCTTAGTGTTCAAGCAGCATCTCAGCTCCAAGATTGCTGAGGCCAGGGGACAAAGCCTCTGCCGGTGCCGCCGGCCTCGATGCGCTCGCGACTCTGCCGGCACTGCCAGCCTTGATGCGCTCACGACCACACTCATTGTAACAGCATCTTTCCAAGTGTAAGTTCCAATGGAAGGAGCCTTAGGAAGGCTTTTTTCTTCCTCAGCTATCACTCAGTTCATCATCATCGAATGCCTTCTTGATCCTGAACCCAAGAAAATTACAGGTAGAAGACAGGGGCTTCCCCTGGGAAGGTTGTATCGTACAGTCCAAAGTGCCCGAGGTTCTATAGGCCTGCGTGTGAAGCCTGGCTCTGCCATTTGTTAGCTATGATGGTTGGAAATATGTCCATGATTTTTTTGACATGCTATTCAAAAAGTCAAGCCTAATTCCTCTCTCCTTGAGTGTGGAATGGATTTAGTGACTTGCGTCTAATAAAGGGAATAAAGCAGTAGTGACGGCATATAACTTCCTAAACTAGGTCGTAAAGGACATTGACGTTTCCATTCTTGGTCTTTCTCTTGGATCACCTGGGAAGAAATGACTATCATGTCTTAATGACACTCAAGCAGCTGGTGGCTATGTGAGTGCCCATCTTGGAAGCAGATCTCTTCCCCAGTCAAGCCTTCAGATGACACCAGTACTGGCCAATGTCTTGAATGCAGCCTCGTGAGAGACACTGCACCTGAACCACCCAGGTAAGCTACTCCCAGACTCCTGACCCACAGAAAGGGTGGGCGTTTGTTGTTTTGAGCCATTAAGTTTTGGGATCCTTTGTTACGCAGCCGTAGATAAGTAATACACCACCTTCTTGACACTGCAAGACAATTTCTCTGAGCCTCCATTTTTTTAATCTATAAAATAAAGAAGAGAATTCCTACCATACGGATATATTGTGATAGTTAAATGATATACACATGTTAACGGTTCTCAAATTTTTAATTTCAGAACCCTTTTACACTCTTAAAATTGAGGACCCTAAAGAGCTTTTGTTTATGTAGTTTTATCTATCATATATCATAATATATACCATTTTATATACCTGTGGTAAAAATATTCAGTCAGCTGAAGGTGGGTTGGTAGAGAAATATCTGTCTATAAATTTCAAATTATTTTTGCTTATATAAGACTGAATGGGCAGTCCTGAGGCCTTTTTAAAAAATTTTTTAAACTGAGAAATTTAAAAAATATTTTACCTGTCATTTAAAAACAAAAATAATTTTATTTTAACAAAATAATGTTTTTTAATTTTTTAAATTTTTTAGTTATAGTTGACATTCAATATTAGTTTCAGGTGTGCAGCATAGTGGTTAGACATTTACATAATTTATGAAGCGATTCCTCCAATAGGTCTAGTACCCACATGGCACCATTCATAGTTATTACAGTATTATTGACTGTATTCCCTGTGCTGTACTTTACGTCCTTATTACTGTTTTGTAACTGCCAATTTGTACTTCTTAATCCCTTCACCTTTTTCACCGAGCCCAACAAAATAACATTTTTTTAATGAAAACTAACTTTTGAAAATAAAAAAAAAATTAGAAGAGTGGCATGTTTTACGTTTTGGCAAGTATCTCGAATATCTGGCTTAAGAGAAAGCAGCTGGATTCCATAGCTGCATCTGCATTCAATCTGTTGCAATATTGGCCTCGCGTAGATATGTAGCTAGAAAAGAGAGGACCTCATGCCCCCCGAAAGGGTGTTAGGGACCCCAAGAGGCCTTCTGACCATACTTTGAAAAGCTCTAATCTGTTATAGCATCTGGTATAGTAAATGTTCAATCCGCTAAACTTATTTATTATTATTATTGTTAGAAAATGTGTCATCTATAGAGAAGAAATAGAACTAAATGTGACAAACAATAGTGAGTTGAAGGAAAGGCTCTTGTCTAAGTGGCCATCTGAACACAGCCAGCCTCGTTAACTCTCTGGCTCCCGGCTTCCTTATGCATAAGTTGGGTAGATGAGGCGCGGGTGGTGATTTTCACGCTCAGGAGCTGCCTGAGCAGGGAGGCCTCGGCCCTACCTCGACCCCACCCAGTTCTGCCAGGAAATGTTTTTCTGTTTAAAACATCTTTGAGGAAAGGCTCCTGTGACTGAAAACCACCGAATCCCATGCACTGGAACGCTGGGTCTCCTCCCGGCCCTGACTTTCTTGTCTTCTGGGAAACGCGTACAGACAGGTCAGCAGCAGCTGCCTCAGGGTAGGTTCGCGCTGTGGGTCACACTGGGAGATGGTGACATGCAGGACCGAGGCCACCGATGACCGAGTCCACAGAGCCACGTGATTCCAGCCAGACGCAGCTGCTGGCATCGTCACCCTACTTGACAGCATCTTATTTAAATTCATTCAATTTTGAATTTCGTACATTTTGCAACAACAAACAAACCAAAAAACATCATGTGCCGCCCTCATCTAGGGCCAGCCCTCTACAAGCAGACCCCTTGGAGGGGGACCGTGACCACTGAGCACCCACAGCCCCAGGCCCCTCAACTCACTGAGGATTGAATTTGGGTGCAGTGCCTTTTCTTGGAGGACAATGGGAAACCTTCCGCAGTTGATCCTTCTATGGCCTTTTTTCTCCATTTTTTGCTTCCTGAAAAAGGTGCATAAGATCCCGTAAACTTTTAGTACACTTCTAACAGAGATAGTGAGAGTATCGGTAAAGCTGAAATGTTAAATTTCTTCTGTCAGAGCCTGGAACAATGTAGGAGCGAGTGGCATGTCATCCTCAGGGGCCCCGTTGCCTGAGAGCTCCCCTATAAAACTGTACCCTCCACAGTTTGGCCTGATAAGATCATAGTTACCGAACAGTGAAAGTGAATCTGTTCACTAGAGGATAATATCTCATCATCACACATACACACATAATATCAAAATGTGGAGTATGGAACTATAAGATTTGGAGTTTTCTTCATATTCATGTCTCAAAATCAGTTCAAATCAGGAAAGAAGCCGCTATATGTCAGTACTAGGTCACGTGGCTTTGGCTCCCTAAGTGCAAGCTGAGTATTTCCAAAAAGTCCAGTCAGGTGGATTTTGTGCAGTGTCTGTGGGGCCAGAGGGTGATGGTGGGCGGGAGAATGTGCATCTGGGCTTAATTTAAGCTGCACAAGGCCACCAGGGGGCATTAGAAAGATGCCCTAAATTGTTACCAGAGGCTTCCTCTGACCTGACTGTAGCTTGTGCCTCTCCCTCCACAAAAATTCTCACTCCCCCACAGGGATTCTAATTACTAACAATTCTTAAAGCTCTTGCTCAGCCCCTGGGATAGAATAATAGCCCCCAGGGAAGGTTGCTCATTCTTCCTGTGGAGGGCACTGTGCCCAAGAAGATATCCTGGACCGAGCCCGTGAGCTGGCAGGCGACCAATCCCAGGGGGGTGGGATGTGAGCCTGAGGTGTGGCTTGGAGCTGCGTGCAGGTCTGCCAGGGCCTGGGTCGCTGCCGGAGGAGAGAGGCACAGCACTCGAGTTTGGAGTTGGGGGCTGTGAAGCCCGGTTCTTCCCCTCCTCCTCCTGGAAAAACGTGCTCTCGTCCTGAGTCACACCTCATTTTCTGTCCCCACCCTCCTCCTCTAGGGCATTTGAACATCTGCTCTCCAAAATGGAAAGCTTGGACCTCGCTCAATTTGAGTTCAGTCCAACACATGACTTTTTCTCCCTTTTTTAAACTTCTTTTGTGCACTGAAATCTTCTTGCCAAACCAAACAAGCTAAGGGCAATTCTACCTGAGAAGAAAGTTTTAGTAGCTGAAATCCAAAGTTCTGCATCGGAAATAACACAAAGAGATAAGCACTTTACCTGTAGCATATGTGTTATTCGCATATACGTACCACTTCACAAATATCCTGCAAACAGTATGTCATCAGCAACCTCATAAAGAACACGTTCCATCTGAGAGTTAATCTTCCGAAAGAGTAAAAGGTATGTGACCCCCCGTTCAATTAATTCCTCAGGGATTATGTTGTTTACCAAGCTTTCGATTTATAAATCGTGTATGTCTCATTACTCCCCGGCAGTAGATTCACTGTTAGATCTGATTTTACACTTGGTAGTGCTTTTCTTTCCATCTTGTCCACCATAAAAGAGTAAATTTAATCTGGAATATAGGTCCCTATCTTGGTACTTAAGTGGCTCTGTAGGGTCTAGACTAGGAATTTGGAAGAGAAACACTTAGTACCTTGAATGCATAATGAAAATGTTTTTTAAATATCAGATTATTTTTATTATACTTAATAAAACATATAAAAATCCAAAATCTAGATTTTAATTCAATAAATAAAAATAGTAGGAATGGGATGACTCAGAAAGTAAGCATCACTAGTGCCTCTTGTATTTAGAGTCAAAGCTGATGACTGACATGTTGGTTTAAAGTAATGGCCCAACCAGATGACGCCTAGTAATTTTAGCACAAACACCGGGCTGTTTCTTTTTTGGGGGGGCGGAAACTCAGTGAGACACTTATGATGAGTGCCCGTTCCCATGATGGAATGCTTCCTAACAGGAAACTTCGGTCTTTCAGACCTTGTTCTCTGCTTCCATTAGAGGCCGATCCGATCCAAACACACACGTAATAGTGGTTGCTAAACAGCTCCTCCCTCCTTGACACCTTGACCTTTCAAAGGTAAATTAGCCAGGCTTTGCCATCAGCCACCTGAGCGTGGAGGTGCTGCCTCTCTCGCTCACCGAGAGAAGCTTCGAATAAATGATTCTGAATCCACGTGGGCTAACCGTTGATCCAATGAGTGTTTCCAAAACATTAAAGATTTCTCCTTTAATGTCGGTGTAGGATACTACACCAACAGCTTTGCCCATGATTTATAACTCATACCTGGAAGATTTCTCCTGAGGAATGGGGCGAAGTAAGCCCTGAGATGTGAAATTAGGTTTATTCCAGGTGGGACCAGGGGGCAGAGGTGGGACTCAGCTGGGAAGATTTTCACTCGTCACAAGCAAAGAGCAGTGACGGTGGGAGCTGGTATGCAGTGGTGTACAATAATATTCCTCTGGACAATGTTCAAAGGGAGCCTACGGTCAACCCCCCATCCTTCTACGTGCTATACGCGTGATTCTTAACCAAGGGGGCTTATCAGAATCACCCAGGGAGATTTAAAGCAAGAGTTCCTACTACTGCTCCACCCCTGGCAAGCTGATAGAGTAGGCGGGGCTGAGGCACTTGCATTATTTAAAAATCTCCCTGGTAACTTGGATGCTGTCCCCAGCGGAGAGGCACTGTTAGAGGTATTTAAGTGGGGAGGGAGGCTGGGCTACGCGCTCAGCCGTGGCTTCTGGCACCCGGTCAGTCCGCTGACGCCCACTCTCTCTGGAATTATTATCCCAGTACTGGCTCCCACCCACCCTGGCAGTTCAGCAGCAAAAAGCCCTCACCATTCACAGATCTGATGGCAGAAGGCACAGCTCCGACTGGTTGTCTCTGCATGTTTCTGCTTTCCGGAGGCCTTGCTGGGGTCCTCCTGCACCACAAAGCACACACAGATGCGGCTGTGAACGAGGAAGTGACTCATCCCTTGGCCGCTCATGCACAGCCCAGCAAGCAGCTCAGGCTCGGCTGAGCTCACCCACCATCTCAGGGTTGCTGCCTTCTGACTCCTCGCTCAGTGGGGGCTTGGCTACAACGGCCTGGGGCTCAGAAAAAGAACCTGCAACACTGGCTCGACTTCTTTCCTTCTCCAACCAGATTTTAAAATCTAGTTTACAGATCAGTATCTCCCCGTTTTTCCCTTTAGTTTCAGATGACCCGATGCTCCATCAGAGGGTGGACAGATTTTAGAAGATGATTGTTAAATCTATCAATCTGACCACTGGGTAGTAGAGCTCTGAAAGCTTTCCCAAAGATGTGCATTCAACTATTAATTAAATCAGGTTCAGGGAGTATCTAGAGGCCTAAATTATTGTTCATATGTCCTTTTTAACACTCACAAAAAGGAATACTGACCTGAAAGGGCTGACACCACCCAGTGTGTGTGTCTTACTGTAATTTTACCCTTTACATAAAGCGCTTTTTTCGCCATTATAAACAATGCTGACGTAAGAATCATTGTACAGATAGCTTTTTCCATATTTGAACTACTGCCTTAGGAAGGGTCTGGGTCAAAATTTGCGAACATGTTTGCGTGATGACACGAATTGCCAAATTGCTTTCCACAAAAGTACGAATTACGCAGCCACCAACAAATAATGTGGGCCGCTCGGTTTGACTACACTTTCCTCCGCATCAGGAATTATCACCTGAAAACGTTTTTGTTAATTTAGAGAGGGAGTGGTGGTGGCATCTCGTGTCGATTAGCATTTCCTGTTTTTAAAGGAGAGAAATGTTTTCCCATATGCTTATTTGTTAGTTGTGTTTCCTACTTGTGACTTTTTATTTCATACTTTTTGTCCATTAATTTTTTGGAGGATTTCAGTGTTTTCTCATTAATAAATACCACCATTTGATGATTGCATATCATGCCAGGTGAGTCTCACGTGGCCTCCTTTATTCCTCCCACCATCTCGGCATGTTGTCTCATTGTAATGATGAAGTAATCTGAGGCTCAGAGAATTTAAGCAGGTTGGCAAGATCACACAGAGACTAAGGGGCAGAGCTGGGATTTGCCCCTTAGCTCATAAGGTTGTGCTCATAACCACATTCTGCTCCTTTGTGCACTAGTCAGAGCACTCCGTACGATAAAAATCTCAATGTCGAACTTCGTTTGCTCTTAATGTTTTCCCAGTTGCCTGCCTTTTTAAAAAAAGTTGACTGTGCTTTCAGTTTTGCAAAACATGAGTTAAAATGTTGATGTCGAAAAAGACGTGGAAACAGCCAAGAAACATGGGAAAATGGGTTAAATTTCACAAATAACCAAAGAAATACAGATGCCAATTTTCACTTATCACTTAAGCAAAGATTAGGAAGAAAAAGATACAAAACTCCGGGCTGCGTCAGTCGGAGGCACCGCCTGCCTCCCCTGCACCGCTCTGTGGGCGGGCGTGGACGCACCATCGAAGGCCAGTCGGTCTGAGTCTGTGGTGTGTAGTCTTTAAACCACGAACTGCACTCCTAGGTTTTTATCCTAAGGAAATAATCACCTGTGGGAAAAGCTTGCATATAAAACGGTGTCACCTGAAGCAGTGTTTATAAGATCAAAGAAATGGAAAAAAGTAAATGTCCACTAAAAAACAGATGGATTAAATGCATAGGGGATATCCATATATTGAAATATGATGCAGTTCTTTAAAAGAAGAACTGTGGGTTTATTCTAAGTGATGCATCAAGATCCCCAGTGTGTGCAGAGAAAAAAAAAGGATGGAGAGCCTACAGCCATGCTCCCCGGAACAAGCCCCATGCCATCTGATCTTGGAAGCTAAGCAGGGTGGGGCCTGGTTAGTTCTTGGGATGGGAGACCACCTAGGAAGACCAGGAGCTGTGGGCCTAAAAAATAAGGGATTGAAAACTGACAAGGTCCTTGTAATCTGTGAGGTCAACCAAGGGTTGCCTCACCTAAAAAATAATAATAAAAAAGTAAAAAAGGCTGGACAGATATATACTAAAATATCAGTTATGTTCTCTCAGTGAGATATTCTTCACACTTTTCTCTGTTTTCTGATGTTCTTTTCATAAGCATATGTTGCTTTTGTAATTTAAAATAGTAAAGTTTTTTTTTTCCTTCCATTTCCCGCCCCCCTGTGCTTTCTACTACTTGTAGGCTGACAGGGGTCCCTGCACTCACATTTTAGGTAGATTTACATTAGCAAAATGCAGGAGGTGCCGCCTGACTTGGGACACCCGGGATCTAAAGTCTCCTGTCATTGGCTCCGGACAAGTCTTCTCACCTTTCTAAGTCTGCAACTTCTCTTCTGCAAAAAGTCTTCACAAACTGTAAGGTTCTGAACCAACACACTTATTTCACTGCTTATTATAATTTTGTCATTATCGTTTTAGACCCAGGGGTTTTTAATCCCAGTGTTTCCAATTCATTCATAATGAAATCATCTCCAAGTGGGGCCCCCAGAAGCAGCATTGGCATCACCTGGGAGCGCGTTAGAACTGCAGACTTGCAGGCTCACCCCGGACCGACGCAGTCAAAATCCCCATTTCAAGTCAGGTCCGCAGGTGATTCCTAGGCCCGCTGCAGCCTGGAACAGCTGCCTCTGCAAGTCCCTCCTGAGAGCTGCGAGGTGGGACGTGTAAGCAGTTCCGCAGCTCTCACCAGCCCGGACGCCCAGGATGCCGGTGAGTAAAGGGCCAGGTGATCGTAAGCACGTCCGCGGCAGAGCAGCATCACGTTCGGGTGAAGAAGAGTCAGCACGAGCAGTGATGGGAGGGCCGTGGACGTTCTGGAACCTCGAGGCCATTTGATCTGGTTGGTCTGGTTTTTCAAAAAAGGGGGCGGGCAGTTTGACTTTTAGGATCAGTTTTTGAGCTACCTGGAGTCCCGCTTTGGGGATTATTTGTTTTTTCTTTAACCTCGTGAACAGTCTTAGGGACTTTAAGTTCAGCATTCCTGGGACGGTGGGAAGGAGCAACCTGAGGTGGAGTATGGTCTCGTGGCCTCCCGCCCTTTTCTGCTCTCCCTCCCGCAGTGGGTTGGGGTGGGGGGTGCCGCGGAGGGGAGGGCCGGTAACCCTGGTGCAGGCCCGCTTCTCGACCCCTGGACCCCGGCGTGGGAAGGGGCCTGCCGCTGCCCCCCCGCCAGGTCTGCGGGCCAGGAGCTCAGGTTCTCAGAGGAGGGGGCCTCCCGCGGCTGTGCGGGGCGCTCTGTCCCCCACGCGGGCTCAGGGCCCCAAAGGCAGCGGGGTGCTCCTTGGGAATTTGGAGAGCCACGCGGAGGGACTTGCAGTTAGGGTTTTGGACCTGTGGGAGGTGGGTCTGCAAAGTCACTTCCGCATCTCCACGACACCCCTGAGGCATCATCCCATTCCGCCTGGAGTCCCTTTCCGGACTCGATCCCCTAGTAGAATTCTCCATGTCCCCAAGAACTAAGTTCAAATATGACCTCTGAAAAACCTACCCTGACCATCTATCCCGAGTGGCCTTACCCTCCCACACTGAGTTACTTCTGGTCCTAGCACATCAATTAATAGTCATAGTAGTTAACACCCAGCTAACGGTGCTTACTATGTGCTGGGCCCAGTTTTAAGTATTTTACCTATATTAGCTCATTTGGACCTCATCACCGTTTCTAACAAGCTTCCAGGCGATGCCCCTGCCGCTGGTCTGTGGAAAGCACTTGGAGATTATGCATTACAAATGTGAAATAATGGGTCTAAAATGATGACAAAATCATAAGCAGTAAACAATATAAGTCTGTTGGTTCTGAGCCTTACATTACAGTTGGCAAAGACTCTTTGCAGAAGAGGAGTTGGAAGCTTAGGCAGGAATTATTCTCATTTTACAGAGGAGGAAACTTGAGGCCCAGAGAAGTTATGTAACCTTCCCAAGGTCACAAAGCTGATAAGTGACAGAGCCAGTATTTGGACCTACGCAGTCTGGCTTCGAAGTCATAAGGAATGTATTAATACTTCCTACGTAGCCCTTTTAACATTCTGTAATTACATGTTAATTGTATTTGTTCATCATGTGTGTCCCTCACAGAAATATAAGCATCTTAAGGGCAGGTGATTGTCTGCCTTTTTTATGTTTATCTCCAATACCTAGAAGAATGCCTAGCATTTAGCAATGAATATTTGCCGAATGAACGAATAATAGTAGTAGTAGACTCTCTTTTCAGGGCTACTTATCACTAAGTTATAGAGTTCTCATCATTTCACAACAGTTACTATAAACTTGGGACTATAAACTTTACATAGTAAAGAAGAACGAACCCAGGCCTGAGGGAGCTGCTGGGTGGAAGGCTAGGCTGAATCACGAGGCTCCCTCACACCACCTCGAAGCCAGTTTGGGTTCTTGACTAAAGGGATAACATGCTGTGAACCTTGGATCCTGCTTTTGAAAGGTCGAAATCTCTAGTTAAAACCACAGTGGCTCAGAGTTGGCTATGCTGAGCATTCACTCCATACCAGGCATTCAGTCGGGTGTTTGGAATACAAAAACAGGTATAAAGACTCAGTACCTAATCAGACATAGTGCTGTGGAGACACAGAGGCCAGAGCAAAGAATTCTGCCTGGGGCGGGGTCCAGGTCTGTGTGTGAAGGTTCTATAAATGGTCCAACTCTGAAACTAGGCCTTGAATGAATGAGATTTTGCCAGGCGGCTAAGTGTTTTGAGGAGGCAAACACTTCTTTGGAAGGGCTAATATTTATATAATCTTCAACTTCTTGTACTTAACTTTGACAAAAACCTATTTAAGTTTTGAATATCAGCCACGGGCTGTGTCTTCCAATACTATCTGAAAGAAAAGAATCATTTTAAGGCAATTATCCAGATGATTCAGTTTCTCAGAATTTTAATTTAGTCTGAAATATTCTGAGAGTCGAGGCTACAAAAACAAAAGTCTAGAAAGACAGAGGTGATTGATTTGAATTCCTAATTTTGCCTATGTAGACAATCCAAAAGAATTTAATTTGAGAGAAGCGCAGAAGTGGATTTGTGTAAGTGTTTCTTTCACTGAGTGTGTCATTATTTAGAAGAGGGAGTAGAAAACCATTAAGAGGAAAAATTATATCTTCCAGGCACGATCCACAAAAATGTTACTATTCATCCAGAAGAAATAGCTCTTCAGTGGTTCATCAGTTTAAATTGCATTTTTACAGCCTAAACTAATACTTCAAAAACCGGCACTTGAAATAGCTTCTAACTTTTAAAAGCTGGTTCCATTTTAAATAATATGACTCATGGGACTTTGAAAAGTTAAATTTTCATGAGATATTAAAATAGAACTCAGTGATTCCATGAATTAGAATTCTATAAATGCACAAAACCCATTTTTCCTGGCAAGACATTAGGCTGTAGGTTGCTGTGTTACCTCATCTGAGGGTGGAGAGGGTGCGGATGCCAACTCGTCCGGGATGGTTGGAGAACTCGGGGGAAGAGCTGAGGTTGGTTTGCTTTCATCGCTTTTCTCTTTCACATCTTCAAGCAGCATCTTTAACTTGAAGATTTCACTTTCTACTTTTCTAAGTAAACATAAACAGACAGGCATCTTACAGGGGATGAAGTCAATATTCTAATCAGTAGCAATGGTTCTTGACTATGGCATTGATCTATATTACTAACGTGGTTTGTCTTCAGACAGTAAAAATGACGGACACCCTCCTTGACAGGCATCCTGTTTATACTTTCACTCCACCCACGGCCTGGGATCTAACCCTAATTTTGTTATTCATTAGCTGTGCATTCTTGGGTAAATCATTTAACCCTACTGGCTTTCAATGTCTCAACTATAACAGGGGAAAACAATACTTTGCTTATCTGAGTCTGATTATTTTGATGTTTTTTATGTTTCTAAGAGCTATAATTCTATGGAAATAATTTTTTATATCAGTTGAAAAGGAGGAAAGACATGAAATATCTGAATAACTTAATTAACAACCTTGATCTATAGGAATATGTGTATGTGTATATATATAGACATGTATATATATGTACATGTGTATATAAATATATTTTACCCAACAAAGAGAATCCATTTTCCTCAAATGCATTACATTTACAAAAATTTACCTCATATTAATCCACAAAGAAAAATTTCAACAAACTCTAAAACATTAAAAATTATACCACTGCTTTCCCACTAAAGTTGAGAACAAGGCAAGGAAGCCCCTTCTCATCACTCCTTTTCAGCACTGTACTGGAAGACCTAGCTAATGTAATAAAACAGGAAAACGAAATAGAAGATATACAAGTTGGAAAGGAAAAAATAAAACTGTTCTTGTTCACAGATGACATGATCGCCTGTAGAAAATCCAAAGAATTGACCAAAAGAAACTGCTAGAACTAATAAGCAATTACAGCGAGGTTGAAGGATACAAAGTTAATATACAAAAGTCAATTGCTTTCCTGTATATGAGCAATGAACAAGTGAAATGAAATTAAAAACAATACCATTTATATTAGGATACAAAAAAATTTAATACTCAGGTATAAATCTAACAAAATATAAGGTCTATATAAAGAAAATTACAAAACTCTGACATATGAAATCAAAGAACTAAGTAAATGGAGAGATACTCCATATTCATGGCTAGGAAGACTCAATATTATGAAAATGTCAGTTCTTTCCACCTTAATCTCTAGAGTCAATGCAATCCCTATCAAAATCCCAGCAAGTGTTTTTCATGGATATTGACAAACTGACCCTAAAGTTCATATGGATAGACAAGAGACCCAGAATAGCAAACAAAATTAAAGGACAAGAACAAATTTGGAGGACTGTCACTACTGAACTTCAAAACTTACTATACAGCTACAGTAATCACAGCAGTGTGGTATTGGTGAAAGACTACACAAATAAACCAGTGGAACAGAATAGAGCACCCAGAAATAAACTCACACAAATATGGTCAACTGATATTTTATAAAAGAGCAATACAACGAAGCACAAATAATCTTTTCAACAACTAGTGTTGAGACAACTGGACATCTACATGCAGAAAAATGAATCTAGTCACAGACTTAACACCCTTCACAAAATTAACTAAAAATGGATCATAGACTTAATGTAAAATGCAAAACTATAAAACTCCTAGAAGATACCATAGGAGACGGACTACCTAGATGACCTTGGGAATGGCAATGACTTTTCAAATACAACATCAACAGCACCATCCATGAAAGAAATAATTGATAAGCTAGACTTCCTTAAAATGAAAAACTTCTCTGAAAAAGACAATGTCAAGAGAAGAAGACAAGCCATAAACTGGGGAAAAATATGGCAAAAGACACATCAATAAAGGACTGTTATCCAAAATATACAAAGAACTCTTAAAATTTAAAACACAAACAACCCAGTTAAAAAATGTGCTAAAGACCATAACAGACAACTCACCAAAGAAGAAAGGCAGATGGCAAATAAGCATCTGAGAAGATGCTTCATATAATATGTCATCAGGGAAATAAAAATTAAAACAATGAGATAACCCCTACACACTAGTAGAATGGCCGAAATCTGGAATGCTTACAACACCTAACGCTGGCAAAAGACGTGGAGCAGCGGGAATTCTCGTTCATTCCTGGTGAGAATGCAAAATGGTACAGCCACTTTGGAAGACAGGCTGTTTCTTATAAAACTAAACATACTTTTACCATACAATCTAGCAGTCACACTCCTTGGTATTTACCCAAAGGAGCTGAAAACTTACATCCACTCAAAAACCTGCACATGGATGTTTATAGCGGCTTTATTCATAATTGCCAAAACTTGGAAACAACCAAGATATCTTTCAGTAGATGAATGGATAAATAAACTGTATAACATCCAGACAATGGAATATTATTCAGCACTAAAGAGAAATGAGCTACCAAGTTATGAAAAGGCATGGAGGAAACTTAAATGCATATTACTAAGTGAAAGAATTGAATCTGAAAAGGCTACATATATTGTATGATTCCAACTATGTGACATTATGGAAAAGAAAAAATTATGGCAAAAATAAAAAGATCAGTGGTTGCCAAGGATTGGTGTTCGGGAAGGAACAAATAGGTGGAATACAGAGGATTTTTAGGGCAGTGAAAATTCTCTGTATGCTACTATAAAGATGGATACATGTCATTATACATTGGTCCAAATCTATGGAATCTATAACACCAAGAGTGAACCCTGATGTACTTTGGGTAATGTGTCAATGTAGGTTCATCAACTGTAACATCCAGTGGAGGATCTTGATAATGGGGGAAGCCATGCATGTGTGGGAAAGGGGTATATGGGAAATCTCTATTTTGCTGTGAACCTAAATCTGCTCTTAAAAATATAGACTTAAAAAATTATACCACCCACATTCTCTGATCATTAAAAATTAATAATGAAAAGAAAAAAACAATCTAATTGAAAATTTTAACATTCATCTAAATAACTTCAGGGTTAAATGAGAAATAAAAATGGAGATTAGGGATAATTTGCAAGTGGATAATAAATGAGAGAACAAGATAGGAAAAATAGTGTCATACCGCTAAAGCAGTACTTTCAGGAAAATTTATAGTCTTAAAAATGCATCCTTAAGGGAAAAGGTTCAAAATCAATAAACTAAGTATTCAAAACAGACAGAAAAAGAACAACAAAATAAACCCGCCAAAAGGAAGAGATTTACAAAAGGAGAAATAAATAAGATTTAAAAGAATTTGATCATTAAAATCAAACTATTTCTTTGACGATATCTATAAAATAAACCACTGAAAAATCTGAATGAGAAGCATGAATAACATTAAGAATGAGAAAGGCAAAATACTAGAAGAAAAAGTTTAGATCAAACGAAATCAAACAACTTCATGTAAACACAGTTTAAATCTCTAGGTGAAATGGATAAATTCCTGAGAAAATATAAATTATTGAAAACTACTTAAAAAGAGGTAGGAAACCTAAAAAGCCTAATAACCAGAGAAAAATAGAAAAGATTGTCAAAAATCTACTTCTCAAAAGGTACCCAGTCCAAGTGGGATTATGGATGGGTTCTATCAAGACTTTAACTCTCATGGAACATAAAAAAGAAAAATTTCCCAACTCATCCTATAGTTAAAATTAGGATATTTATTAATGTACTTACTACATTAATAGATTAAAGGAGATAAACTAGATTTCTAAATCTCATTTGATTAACATTTTTCTAAATTAAACAAAAAAAGAATCCTAGTAAGCTATGAACAGAAGAAAACTTTCTTGATAAAACTTATATACTTGAACCCACAGCAATCATCATACTGGAAGAATTCCCATTACTAGTAGGGACATGACAAGAATACTTGCTTTCATTAGTATTACTCAATATTGTTCTGGAAGATCTAGCAAATGAAATAAAACAATACAAAGAAATGGGATATATAAGAATTGGGGGGAAGAAAAGATACAAAGTATAAATACTTAGGGTGAAAATAAGAATGGGGGAACTTAACCATTTTCACATGCTGTGATTGTTATACCTAAAAACTAAGACAATTAACTGAAAATCAACAACATACTAAGAACAGAAATTGCATGGGGTAGCCCAGTACAAGTTAAATATACAATTTTCTTTATTTTCTGTATCTCGATTTGGGAAGACATCTATTAACTATCAAATAGCTAGAAACAAATTTAACCAAAAAAATGTGTTAAATCGACATGAATAAAACATACTCCCAGATGGAAATACTGATTGCAAAGATTTTAACTTTTCCTGGACTGATCCGTAAATTCAACACGATCCTGAACAAAGTTCGAAGAGAATTTTACTAAGGAAATTTGCTGTGCTAAGAGTGTAAGAATAGCTAAAGAAAGTTTAAAAAAGAAGAAACATTTCAAAGTATGTACTAAACTATAGTAATTTAGTCTAATTAAACTATGGTTAATGTAGAAATATATCACTAGGATATATGTGGAGGTTTTATATGTGATAAAAGTAGCTTTTTCAACCAGTGGGGAAAAGCTGACCTATTCAGTAAATGGTGGGACAGAGATCTAAGCATGAAAAACCATACTGATAATCAAAATATAGGAAAGTATGTTCTCCCCTAGCAGGCAGAAGAGAATTAAGCAGGGAACGAGGAGCGAACAATTTTTAAAAGAGAGAAATGATGAAGCAAGGCTTCGGGTCGTGGGAAGAGATGGGCTCAAGAACCCATCACAGCCGGCGAGGTCGGAAAGCGATAGAGTGAAGGAAGGAGGGGGAGGTGGGAAATGCAGATTGGGAGATAGAGAAAAGACATTTTTAAGGGGATTCGTGAGCTTTTCTATAAAGCAGAAGACAGATCGTATGCTGATAATATCAGGGGGAAGGGATTAGTGGAGGTAGAACCCCGTTTCTCGAGTCCTTGGCTTCCAGTGTTGGTGCGTGAAAGACCCCCGTGACTATCAGAGTACATTCTGACAAGCAAGATGCATGAAATCCAAACCATTGTTTTTGCGTCTTACCTTTTAAGGGCAACAAGAAACTCTTAATAGCACAATGGCTGACTTCAAGTGATTAGTCAGTCAATGAATTTGCAGAATTCTTTCCCCTGCAGAAAGCCAACTGCAGTGGCTTCTGGACTCAACACTTAGAAGGTTCTCAACACACCAAAAGCTCAAGGGTTGTATGGGTTCTGCTCACTGACACATTATGTCCATGTGAGGACAAGAGGACCGACCTTGAACTGAGCAGCTTTGCTTTGAGGTGACCTTAACTGAGTTTCAGGAGCGGCTGGGTCCTTTCCTTGGCCCGATGTTGAAAGCTGCTCTTGTACATGGGATATAATTGCAGTTGAAACTCTGGTTCACACTGGGGCCAGGCACCACGTGGGTATAACTAGGGTATGAATGAGGCATTGCATAGCTTTGGTCTTAAAGCACCGAATTGTCTTTAAAAGGACTGCCAAAGAAGAATTCCTTGGAAAATAAATATCCTTTATTTGTTTTTAAACAAATAGGGAAAGCACATGGAGATCTTTTGATCAAAATAAGGCTTTGATAGTAGAACAAAAGTGAGGCTTTAGAGAAAAAAATCAGTATTAAAACCCCATTCGTGCTGTCTAATTACTCAGTATTGAAATAACAGTAGACAGAGATTTCATTCATTTTGGAAAAGTAAAATTGTACTTTGGGAAAAATACCTCAGGACTCAAGTGCTAAAATATAAACCATTAAAATATTTTGGCATCAAGAATAATTCCGTGTTGAAATGTTATGAATAGAAAGAGCTGAACTTTAAATATTAAGCCCAGTAAATGGATTCTTTTAATTCATACCAGGAAATTATATGGAGACATTCCTAGCTTTGAGTCCTGGAATACATCTTAAAATTATTTGGATTGGAGAGAGGAGCATAGTGCCGTAAAAATTGCCAGCTGGAAACTTCAGTAGGAGTGTGCATCCAAGTTTCTAATGTGGATTAACTCAAGAATCATTTGACTTTAAGTTGGAACATTTTCTCTTTATCAGGATTTGTGGATCCCTCACCCCAACATTAACGAACCTAATGACGATCCTCTCCTGCCCAGTGCCACTTTGGCACTGTCTGTGGATGAGAAAGCAAAGGGCGGAGGTGGGGGAGGGGACAGCAGAGAAGGACCAGGCAGGGGACATAAAGGCAGGAGTTGTGGGAAGGAGAGGACAGAGGAGGTTGGAGAGGGGAAGGTCCTCTGGGCTTAGCGTGTGAGCCTTTCTGGAGTTTTCTTGTGCTTCTGGTCTCGGAACCAGCTATAATGACATCCAACAAAATGCAAGATGGCGGCACAAGCTGTCTCTCCAGGAGACAACCGTTCATTTTGGGCACTCCATCTGAGTCAGAGCCTCGCACAGGACCTTACTCACAGCAGGAACGCCTTACTACTTGTTGCGTGGGGTGACACTCCTTCATTAGTGGCACAGTTTTTACTGACCCTAGACCGGGGGCTCTCCAAGCACTAAATCAGCAGCCGCATCAGAATCCCACCGGAAAGAGGTTTCTCCTCTGAGCCCTCCACCTACAGAGTTTAAATCTGACCTTTCTGGATCAAAGTCACTGGCAGCTGGGGATTCGTGCTTGTAGACTTGCTGCTTCAAAGTCAGATGCTTCTCCTTTTTGGTCAGAAACTCCTGCCCCAGCAATTCAAGATGTCCCTGCAGTTTCTCCAGAACCTGTAGCAGAGAAGTCACTGGAATCATTCACATGTAAACCCGTGCATGTCATTGTTTTTCCCCCAAACCCGTGGGGGTGAACCCTAACAGCGTCAAAACGAAGTCACCGTCCTTCGGGAGAAGGCAATTGTTTTGTTTCAGCGTCTGACATCTAAAATACGAGCGATTTCAACATTCACATCACCCTCATAGCACAAAGCTAAAAAGAATAGTTTCTTCTGATTTCTCTCCCAGGACCCAATCACAGGCCTCTGGGCTTCCTTAATGGGACATTAATCATCCTACATATTCACAGAATGATTTTTAGCTTATTGAGCACTTGCCCATTCATTATTTTACCTAATCGACACATCGATGTTATAAAAGTTGCCAAATGGATTTTATTTCATAGCTCTAGGAAGTATGTCTGATGCCACGTAGATCTCAAAAAGGAACGGAAGTTAGAGGACCCGGATTCGAGTCTGTGGCACGTAGGAGGTGAGGTGAGGAAGGGGCAGCAGGAAGTTTAGCCAAAAGCTGTGAATGGCCCTTTCTGACGTCATCACAAACAGGTGAATGTTTAAGTCATGCAAGTCAGGGCCTCGAGATCTTGTCTTTAGCCCCACAGACAGTGCTCGGGTTTCTAGCTTGGGAGATGGGAGGAATGTGGAAAGGCTAACAAGTTTGAAGATGTCAGCATCAACAAACACATTCTATGATGCTGGATGAGGCAGACTTTTCAGTGAGAGTGGAATATCCAAGCGAAGATGCACGCAAACATTTGGAGATGTAGATAAATCAGGACTAGTAATTTAGGAATCGATAGCTTGGAAATAACAGCGAAAGAATTGGGTGTTCAAAGGGAAGAGAAAAGAAAGCCAATTATAAATTATAATTTAGACTCTTGGGATTTGAATTGTGTTATATCTCAGAAGAAGACAGGGCACAGTTTTCTAGCCAGAAATGCACCTCATTTAACCCTCATAACCACTCTGATCTGGGAGGACGTGCTACGTGCCTGAGATCGTACGACCAATGTGTAGAACTAGGATGTCTGCTTCAAAACGCAAACGCTTTCTACTACGTGGCGCTGCTCATGCCGAGGTGGTTCGTTTTAGCCCCGTCCGGCCTTCTTCCAACACTGAACCAGATGACCCTGGACATTTAGACCGAGGCTGACGCTGTCAGGAATCACCTTCACGTGCCTCGGTCCCCGCACAAATCCCCACATACCCCACATACATCAGGAAACATCCTGAGTGGAGCCTCGGAAAGCTAATGCCTCGAGCTGGTCCCCTCTGCCTTGCTCGGCCCTTCAGCATTCTGTGTTTTCCCGGTTCCTGAAAGCCTCGGTTTTCGGAAATCTCCTTCATCACCTACCTCTTAACTCCGTACTAATTTAATTAATCCCGTGAATGAATGAATAATGAACCACATCTCTTAACATTTGGGTTCTCCTGGGTTTTTCTATGCTGTCTGGTTTCTGAAGCGCAGCCCGCCCAAAGCTGTGCCTGTGTCTTTTACATCAAGACTTTGGACCACCTGCCTTGATGCTGACCCAGGGGCCTGAATGACAACTTCATCTTTCCTGGATCTGGCAGTCTCAGCTTTTTGCCCCATTACCAGGCTCTACCCCCATGTCCTACGACCCTGGCACTGATGAACAGGGCTGTGGTGGTTACAACATAAATCTGTGATTTGATTAAATGCAACAACAAGCAAGTTTGTGACACTCAAAAGATTTTGATCTAAAAAGCATAGCTTCAAGATCGATTTTAAGTTTTCAAAGTTTTGTAGGTTGAGTCACCAGATGCTGACAGTTTTTATAACCTGTATCTGCCAGGATCCATCAACTGTGGATGAGCGTGCCCTTTGTTAACTGCTGACTGGAATTCTCTTGAACCTGCTATGGCCTCAGATTTATTATGGGGTGACGGGTGAGGAATATCAGCCATAAGTGATAGATCCCTTGAGAAAGAGAGAGAGCTAAATACATACAGAAATAGAATTCTAAGCTCTTTTAGCCCTCGTAACACTAAGACCTGAGCCTCAGCATGTTAAGAAGTTGGGTGGGAGGGATGGGATGGCGGGGTGAAGGGAAAAGGGAAAATAGCATAAATGAAACATTAACACAAGTTTGTACTAAATAGTTACCAATATAACAAACTTGAAATAAATTATTAAAGATCTTAATTCGATTCGATTTCGCATTGATAACTAAGCGTGTAATGTAAGGACATCGCAAGGCCAGGCCTCCGGGGGAACTGGGCAATAGAGAGAAAGACAAGATTGCTGCCTTTAATCTTCAAAACATGTCCACCAGGGCAGGCAGAGGAGACGTGGTGCTATCAAGTCGTTTGTATTTACCCGTGTCAAATTCCCTAAGAAAGATTTAAAAAACTGGATAAAATTTGTTACCAGCCTCTTGTCTTGCAAATGGCAGGGAGAGTTCTGGGCTATGCTTTTGGAAAATTCTTGTACCTGCAGTGAAAAAATGCAATATTTCTTTAATGGCATGGTGTCTTATATTTGAATTTGGTTACTTCTATTGTTCATAATAAGCTTTTAAAGTATTACTTTCGTCTTCAGTTGGTCAGTCTGTTCTCTTAACTTCTGACACATCTTTTTCCCGTGGGATATTTTTTGAAATATGTAAGAAGAATTCAAGGAAGTGTCTTTCTGGGATGTTGATGCCAACTTAAAGAGACTTGTCTCAGATTCTATTCCTGTATAAAAAAGAATAAGTTTTGGCTACCATTCATCTCAAGTTCATTGAAGATTTATTAAGTACTGAAAACAAGTCTGTGGTAATCGTCATCAACAATTATTAACAAAAAGTTTTCAAAGCGTGTATCTAAATCAAAGAGATTTAAAAACGTTAGTACCTGCAAGATGTTCTTGGTGGATAGGTAGCGTAGGCTCCATCTGCATAATTAAAGATAAGAAGACATTACTGTTGATACAGATCAATGAGATCATCACTCAGAATGACCTGGTGTGTTCTGGTGGCGGCCCAGTGCTGTGTCGAGAGCTGGGGCCCTGATGCCAAGGTCAAAGTCCACCGTGACTCATATCTGCCTGGCAACCCAGGGCAATTACTTGATCGCTGTAAACCACAAATTCCTTAGCAGTAAATGGGGAAAGTAATAGCCCACCTTACAGGGTTGTCATGAGGATGAAATGGTGAGGAGTTACCATGCTGTCCGGCGTGTGATGAGCATTCGATACGTGTTAGCTGTGAGCACTCCTGTTTGACACTGTTACGCGGATACTGAAACATTTCTCCTAAAACTAGGCCATGAGCTCTGTGAGGGCAGAGACCGTTGTTGGTCGTCACCAGCTTTGCTGCTTGTGTACTCAGTAACATCAAGCGCACAGCAGACACACTCTAGATAATATCAAACAGTGTGCGTTAAGTTCCAAAACGTGTGTCTGGAGAGATTGTTTACACAGGACGTGCCCTTTTCCGATCACCACGGGCTAAGTGGAGAGGAGTTAAAATTCCAGAGTGATTTACCTCGAAAGTCTTCCCATCGTTCCCAGTACCTAAAGCTCAGAAATGCGCTGGTGCCAGGGAGCTAAATGGTAGCGGTCAAGTTAGACGGTGATTGTTATGAATAGCTCAGTTACGTGATGGATATGGAGCCTAGAGATTCCAGTTCTCCAACCTGATTGAAAGGACTGGAGACAACCGAACACCTGACTTGAGACACCTGCTGCCAGAGAGAGACAGACCCGACGTCCCTCGTGCTCCTGCGAAGCCCGGGGCCCGGGGCACCGAGGAGCGAGCACACCCAGGGGTGCTCTCCTGCCAGCGGAGCGAGGGACCCGAAAATCCCCTATGTGCAGATTTCTCCAAGACTCAGAGAAGCTTCCCAGGCAAGGCCAGGCGGGCTGCTGGCTCCAGGGTGTGGGTCTGACAGGGGGGCTCTGCTCGGACTCCCCGGAGTGTGCAGTTGAAAGAGAAGGGAGTTGAAGCATGAAAGGGTAGAAATGGAATTAGGCAGTGAGTGTTTAGTCCAGGGTACTCTTCATACAAGGCTTAAAAAAAAAAAATCCTATAGTCCTGGCAAAGTGCCAGAAAACTGAAATATTTATACTTTGATCTTTAACGTGAATTTACCTAACGATTGAATCTCGGTCCGTGAGATCCTGGGCCTCAGTGTGTTAGGAAGTCAGGCTGGGGGATGGGAAGATGGGTAAAGGGGAAATGGTATGAATGAAACGTGAACACAATTCTGTACTATATAGTTACCAATATAACAAGCTTGAAATATGTTATTAAAGATCTTAATTCAATTTAGCATTAATAACTAGGGGTGTAACATATGTAAGACGCAAGGCCAGGCCTCTGGGGGCAGTTAGGCAATGGAGAGATGAAGATAGGTTGCTGCCCTCCAAAGTCTTCAAATCTAGCGGAATAAACAGATTTCCAAATTATTATGATTCGAAGCAGGCTGAGATAGGACACTAAAGAAACGAGGATGGGAGAGACTGTGTTGGGAGGTTCTGAAAAGTCTGTGGCCTACGGGGAACTGCAGGAGGCCATGAAATGGAGCAGGCTTTTGGTAGGTGGAGATGGGTTGTCCCATGTGAGGCAGAAGCTCAGACGGCCGGGCCTGCGGAGTGGTTGGGGACCAGCTAGGTAACCGACGATGCAGGAGGGGAGCGGAGTTTAGAAGGGTAGGATGAAGTAAAAAAAAAAAAAAAAAATGGAATGCAATTTCCAGGCTGTGAATTTGGATTTTATTCTCTGATGTGTTGTTAGTCCAGCCCCTGATTCATCTCTCATAAAGACACTCACTGAGCTTCTGAGCGGTCAAGGTACTCGGTCAGAACTAGAACCTGGAACCTCAGAACTAGAACTCAGTTTCCGCCTCCTTCCAAAGACCCACACTGAGGACGGATGAGCGGGGGCCTCGCGGTGCATTTCCTGGAGGCTCCCCTCGCTCTCTTCTGCCTGTCGTGAAGGTTCAGGAGTTTTCTTTTTCTACTTGTTTCTAAACACAATTTGATAGACATGCTTTCTAAAACATCTTGCTCAATAGCTAACTTACCTCTTGGTTGAGGAGAGAAGCTGGCTTATATATCATAAGGAGTTTATCAATTATGTTATTTTTAGGGATTTTCACTTTGGGACTAACCTTAGAGAAATCAGAGAACCGGTGAAACACTTGACCTTGGCTGCATTTGAACCCATTGCCCGATCTCGCTTTTTCAGTCTGCTGTTTCTGGGGTGTCTGTCCTCGGCCACTTTTTTGGTTATCTCTTGGACTCTCGGTTTCAGTTAGCAAATTTGAATTTTCTGGATGGCTGCTGTCTCCAGCAGCCACTGGCTCTTCCACCTCAGGGGTGCTTCCTTCTGCTGTAGTTGGACAACAACTGGGCTTGTTCTTGTTTTCGCCGTCCCTTTTGGGGTTGAGTTGGTCAGCGAGTTCCGGGGGTGGTGGTTTTGGCCAAGAATTCTGAAGATAACGCAAAATAATATTTTTAAGAACGGCCTCATCAAAACTGTCAGCATTAGAGGTCTCTGAGAGAGTTTCACAATTAACACCTTGACCTTTAAAAACTTCCTCTTTGGAAAGATGATGCAGTAAAACATCAGAAATGTTTGACTTTGAAAGGTCTCCTTGATTAGCCGGCATGTGAAGGTTTGTGGTACATTGTTTCTCTTTATCATATGTTTTCCTGACGGCATTTTCAGTCATTGCATCCAGGATCAGGGCTCTTCCTACATTTCTGCAAGTCTCTTGACGTGTAGCATCTTCTTGAGGATCATCTACTGCTGAAATAATTTGATCTGAGACATCAAGGGTGTCATTTTTTGAGGTAAAATTGTAATCATTGTATAGCTTCATTTGGGAGAAACCCTCATCATAAGGCGAGTCCTCCTGTTGCTCCAAAGTTGTGTCTTCTGAGAAATTGGCTTTATCCATATATGTGCAGCCTGACCTTTGTCCTTTGTGCTTGGCCTTGATGTTCTCAGTTGTAACAATAGATCTTCTGGTTTTCATTAATTGTCTTCATTGTGTGTCCTGTTCTATGCAAAATGAGAAGAGCCTCGTTGTTAAATATATTAGAAAAATGTATGAAACTATGCTTATCCTGGCATCTATGCCAGAACACAATAGATGCTTTTCATGTAAAGAAATTCAGCCAAGAGCTAACTCATCTTAAATCCTCTATTAACATAATCAGTGTTCTGTAAGCAAGGAACAATTAAAAGGAAGGAGTGGTGTTAAAATTTTCATTCATTGACTGCAAATTGGTACAGCCACTGTGGAAAACAGTATGGAGGTTCCTCAAAAAACTAAGAATTGATCTACCATATAATCCAGCAATCCTTCTACTGGATATTTACTCCAAAGACTTGAAAACCCATATAAGAAAAGATATTTGCACACCGATGTTCATAGCAGCATTATTCACGGTGGCCAGGACGTGGAAGCAACCAAAGTGTCCTACGATAGATGATCGACTAAAGAAGCTGTGGTACATACATACAATGGAATATTACTCAGCCATAAGAAGGGATGAAATACTGCCATTTGCAACAACATGGACGGACCTCGAGATAATCATGCTAAGCGAAATAAGCCAGACAGAAAGCGTTGAAAATCACATGATATCACTTATATGTGGGATATAAACCTAAAAGCAACAAATTAACAAGACAAACAGAGACTCAAGGACATGGACAATGGACTAGTGGTTACCAGAGGGTAGGGGGAGGTAGGAGCGGGGAGGTAGACAGGGTAAAGGGGGTCAAATATGTGGTGACAGAAAGAAATCTAACTATGAGAGGTGAACACACAGTGTAAATATATATGCCTTACTGTTAAAGTATACAGCTGAAATTTATTAGATTTTGTTAACCAATGTCACCATTAAAAAAATAAATTAATTAAAAATTTTTTTCATTCATTAAATTTTGAGAGAGACATTGGTCTCCAGTTAATGACCAAATGTTTATCAACCTCTCTTAGGAAATGCTGTTTGGAATTCATTTTCCCCCAATATGAGCCTGGATGCAAGTAAAGTATTGATTTTTTAAATTGCCGTGGCCAGTCACTTGTCCACACCTTGCTGACGGGCCTGGATGCTGTGTGGCTGAAAGCTGGTTCAGCTAACACGTAACCACCAACTTCTCTGTTCCGGTGCTTTTTCATCGGTCCCTGCAGACATTCTGGTCCCTTCTCCTGACATCCCTTTATATGCTGGGGAGAGGCAGAGAATGGCTGACAGAAATATGACCAAGAAGCAAAAAGGCCTTTAGAACACCCTGAGTGCGGTCTGCTGCCAGGCATCCCTCTCGTGATGATGAACACGGTCAGAGGAGCTCTGACCTGACCTTGCTCTGAGCCTGTGCCCTGAGCAGCCACATTCTGGTGGCAGAGGCAGGTCGTGGGGCGGCGGGGAGGGGGGTGGTGCTGCCAGCAGTGGTCAGAACATAACAAACTGCCATTTAGGATGTTTTTTCTTTCATTTATTTACTTATCATTATTATTATTAAACACCGACAGCACCCAGTCCTCCTAGGTGGTCTCCCATCCAAGTACTAACCAGGCCCGACCCTGCTTAGCTTCCGAGATCAGATGAGATCGGGTGCATTCAGGGTGGCATGGCCGTAGACTAGGATGTTTTTTTCTTTTAAATAGAATTGAAAACATACATTTTGATACCTTTTCTCGGTTTGGGCACTTTCAGGACAATTCCAGTTCAAGGCGGAGTAACTAACTGAGGCTCTGACACACCAGGGGACCGCAGCCCCCGGCTGGCCTCCCTCGCCCTTACAATGATGGGGTTGGATGAGTGGCTCTCTGAGGTCCTCTCCCCATCTAAATGTTTATGAGTCTGGAACTTGTGATTTATTAGATGATCTAAAGAGCTAAAGTAATATGTTGGACCAAAAAAAAAAAAACTGAACTCTCCAAGAAAAGAGAAATACAAACTAAATGTGGTAAAGACATCTATTAAACATTGTACAAAATCTTAATTTACAGATATGTGCCAATAACAAAAAGATATTTTGTTAAAAATGATAGAAGGTAGGGGAGGCAGGAGGAAAGAAGGAGAGGACGAAGAAAAGAAATCTCTACAGCATCACTTTAAATCATTTACAGCATCAAATGTTTACTGCACAATGAGGTATATCTTAATGAACAGAACGACAGGCTGTGCCATCCCAAGTTGAAAAACAAAGAAAAATGCTTCCCAGAAAAGTCAGAAGCACAGTAGGAAAGCAGGAGTCGAGCGACCTGGATTTGAATTCCAGCTTCTACACTCGTTAGCTACACGCCACGGGCAAGTCGATTAACTCTTTTGAGTCTTAGTTTCCTCTTCTGAAAAATAGGAATAATCATACCTCGTTCACAGGATTGCTCAATGAGCATGAGATGATGCATGTAAAGCTCTTGGCAGGATGCTTGGCACAGTGAGCATTTAATCAATGGTAGTTTAAAAATGAAAAACGGAACCAGTCTCAGTGTTGGAATACTGAACAATGCCCAGGTGCGGAAGGCTAGGCTCTTTATCTATGGGGATATTTAAAAGGTAAAGAAATGGCATACATGAGACATGAGCTATATAGGAGCTTTGAAAATCTTTTTAAAACGTATCTATAAATGAATATATTGTTTGATGGTGAAAACTGTCACTAAATTTTAAGAAAAACATTGTCTAAGACATCCAAATGGCCAACAGGCACATAAAAAGACGTCCAACATCACCAATCAAGGAAATGCAAGCCAAAACCACAATGAAATATCACCTCACACCTGTTAGAATGGCTGTCATCAAAAAGACAAGATAACAAGTGTCGGTGAAGATGTAGCCAAGTGTTGGTGAAGATGCACTGCTGACGGGAATGTAAAGCCATTCAGCCACTATGGAAGACAATGTGGAGTTTCCTCAAAAAATTACAAATAGGGCTACCATCCGATCCAGCAATTCCACTTCTGGGTATATATCCCAGGAAAATGAAAACAGGATATCAAAGAGGTATCTGCACTCTCGTGTTTATTCACATTCTTCACAATAGCCAAGCTATGGAAAACACCTAAGTGTCTGTCAGTGAATGAATGGATAAAGAAGGTATGCACACACCGAGAGAGAGGAAGACATCCTGCCATTTTCAACAACCTGGAGCACAGCCTGGAGCATATTATGCTGAGTGAGATAAGTCAGAGACAGACAAGCCCTGGATGCTGTCACTTAGAGGTGTTATCTAAAAAGCAAAACTTGGAAAAACAGTAGAAGGGTGGGTACCAGGGGCTGGGGGTGGAGGGATAGGACAGATGTTGTTTAAGGATACAAACTTGCAATGAATAGTAAATAAGCCCTAGAGATCTAATGTACAGTATAGTAAATACAGAGAACAAAATGTATTATAATATTCAAACTTGCTAAGAGACTGGATCTTAATTATTCCAACCACTAAAACGAAATAATTATGTAACATGATAGAGCTGCTAATTATTGCTATAATGGCAATCATATTACAATATATAAATGTATCAGATTAACATTCTGCCCCTTAAAATTACACAATGTTATATGTCAAATATATTTCAGTTTTTAAAAACAAGTTGACTAAGTTCTGAGGGAAAAAAGAGTGTCTTTAAATGCCTATAGAAAAGAGGAAAGATGAATTCTAGTTTTGCAGGACTTTTAATGACTCAGGCTACAACCCCAACTCACCCTTGTGCCTTTGTATCTTGATACTCATTTCAGAGCTCCAAGCCCTTCTTACCAAGGGAAAAAAGACCCTTTGCTAGCCAGATACTAGTTTCTAAAATGTCATTCCATTTAAACTAATAAAATTTAATTTGTGCTATGACTCTTAAGAAAAAGAGACCATCAGGATAATCCGGAAGCGTGAAGAACTCATTACATATATGAAAACAGGTTCTATTATTATTTGTGTGCAAAATATCCAAAGGTTTTTTTTCCTGTTAAAGGACAGTCTACACCCTTAGCACTGTGACGGACGCCTTACAGGTAGCTGGAAGGAACTGGAACATCTTCCCACGTCAATACCCAGCTCAATCTTGAAATCCAAAGGTTCATTCAAAGAGATTCTGGTCGGAACCCAACAGAACCTTTCTATAGAACCCAAGTTGATTTACTGAGTTCAGGTGAACTCATATGGGGGTATGATGCTTATGCAGCTCTACTGACCATTATGTGGTCAGCAATAGCTCACAAATCACCCGAGTGTGAACACTGAGCAGATGAGGCCACCACATCCCAGTGACCCAGTCCTGTGAAAACACTGCAGTCTGGATGCCGAGAAGGGACGAACAACACGGTGCTCACCATGCTGACGTCTCTCCCCGTGTGGTTTACTTTAGTATGAAGTTCGAGTTTGGTGCCGAAGTGCTGGCTTAAGCTCACTCATCTGCCCAGCTTTGAGAAGAAGATAAGCATGGCTGGGATGACTGGGAATCTGGTGGAATCAAATAAGAACATCTATAGATGGGAAAACCCAAACCCCTCAGTGCTTAGAGGCCGAAGACGGTCAGTGAATCACTGCCTCTGGCTGGTAGGTGATGTTTGTTCTATTCACTAAGCCCATTAAGTGGTAATAGAAATGTTATATATCAGAGCACTGTTTTCATCTCCAGAGGAAAACTGGGGCCATGTGCCTGTGGCAATCTCTTAACCTCATCCCCACACCCTCTGTTCCGTGTTTAGACCTCTGCTAGCCTCCAGACAGCATGCATACAAAAGCGAGTATTGTTTCTACTCACTCTTCCCCACCTCCCTCCGCTAAGGTACCAGCCACTTCCCACTCCCAGGTCCTAAACCCCACTCTTATAAGATGGACCTTATTGACTGTAATGAAAATAGGAGTTGACTTTTGGAGGCACTGATTCAACAATCCAAATTCTTCTTACTCCTTCATACGTGTGTCATTAAAAATGTGAATTGACTA